ATAATAATAATAATAATAATAAATAATAATACTGACACATCAATGTACTTGGGAGGCCCTTCATTTCCATATTGCTGTTTACTGTCGAGTCAGAACCGACCCATAGCTCACCCTCTGATGGGTTTTCAGAGGCAATTAATCACATGGGAGGAGACTGCCCATCCTTCTCCCACAGAGCAACTGGTGGCCTCAAACTGTGTACCTCTGGGATTGCAGTGCAGCTTCTTGCCACTAGGCCACCAGAGTTTCCATATTAGTAAGTCTAAATTTTATGGCCAATTGAAAAAAGAAATAAAAAGATGGTAAGACGACAGATAACTTGCCTCAAGCTTCCTTTTCAACTGATCCACTTTCACTCACATGCATCAAGGATTTGGGTCCAAATTCTGATTTTGCCCACTTTTCTCTCTGTGTCCTTGGCAGGTCATGGTCATGGTCAAGTACACTGGATACAAGGATGGACTTGAGTTTTAGTTCTCCTACTGGCCAGTGGCCACACCTAGGGAAAGCTGTATGATCTCTTCATGCCTCGGTTATACCAGCTGAGAAATGGGGATACACTAACAATGGCATTGAGGGAGTTTCAAATCAGGGCTATATGTAAAGCAAATGGAAAAATCTCTAATATAGGAAGTCCTACAGAAGCAGCTGTTAAATGAATGGGAAGAAGTTTGTACCTGAGCAAACCAGTTACCACGGAGCTGATGTCAACAAGATAGAATGACACAGTTGACTGCAGCTCTGGGCTCAGGTGTGTCACAGAGGATGGAGGATGGCACCGGATAGGTCAACTTTCAGATCTATTGTCCACAGGGTTTCCATTGAGTCATACTCAACTCGATGGCACTCCATGACAATAAGACTCATTACAACCTCATGTCATCATGAAACTGTGCCCCAGGGTTTTCAAAGGCTGGTATCTCAGAAGCAGATGAGTAAGCTTTCCTTTCAAAGCCCCTCTGGGTGAACTTGAACTCCCATCCTTTCTGTTAGCAGCAAGATGCTTTAACCCTTTATGCCACTCAGAGCTTCCAGGAGTGGCCTTACGTCCATGATCTCCAGGGTCACCTGCTCCTCTGGGATTCTACATTTCTGTGCTTCTGGGTTTCCAGAGACCAGGCTTCAGAGCCCTGTCATGCTCTGCACCACAGCTCAGCTAAGACAGGTGCTGCTTTCTCTGCATTCTGACTTCAGACCATGAACGAAAACCTTCTGCATCCTTGAAGTGGCCTGGAACCAATGATGCCCTTCTCAGCAAGAGGCATAGTGGTAAGAAGCTGCCCTGCAATCCTGAAGGCATGAGGTTCAAGTCCACCACTGCTCTGCGGAAGAAGGATGGCCAATCTCCTCTCATGCAATTGTTGCTTGTTGTGTTAGGTGCCATCAAATCCAGTATGACTTATAGCGACTCTAGGAACAAAAGATCTGAACTCTGTTCTGTCCTGTGCCATCCTCACATTTCCTGACACACAAGAGCCCATTGTAGCAGTCACCCTGTCATTCACTTAGTCAAGGGTCTTCCTCTCCTTTGATGATCCCCCATCCTTCTCAGCATCATGTCCCCCTAGCAACATGCCCAAGCAAGCCTCATCATTTGTGTCTCCAAAGAGCACTTCAACTGCACCCTCTCCAAGACATATCTGTTTGTTCTCTTGGCCATCCATTGGATGTTCAGTGCTCTTCTCCAACACCACAGCTGAAAGGCATCAATTCTTTCTCTGCCATCCTTATTCACTGTCTAGCTCTCAGATGCATAGCAAGTAATCAGAGAGTCTAAATCAGATGCACCTTAGTCCTCAAACCAACATCATTACAACCCAGTAATTCAGAGAGGCCCCTAATGGGCAGATTTTCCCAGTGTCTGCTGGAGTCAACTCTGACTTGATGGCATACACAATAGCAACAACGACCCCAGAAATCATGAGGGTAAGGATGTGTGTGCAGTATACAGCCTTCCATGCTTGGCCCTGCCTTATAGAAAACTCACTGTCAGTTATGGCCCGTTAGTCATGGAGACAGGACTGAGGAGATTGGGAAAGAGTACACAGACTAGCATTTGGAAAAATAGGAAGGCCCTTTGATTCCAAAAAAGAAGCCCTATCCTAAAAGCAAAATGCTTTCAAAATGTGAAAGAAAATTAACTTCATGCACTGAACCCTTACTGGATCCTCATAGCTCTCAGGACTTCCAAGAGTAGAGCTGTCCTGGTCCCTGCACAGTTAGGGCTGTGTGATGTGCGTGTGGTAAACAGGGATGTTTTTCTGCAGGAAAGGCACGTGGAGAGCTAACTGTTCATGTTTCACCAGGTTTAGTGTTTGAGGACCAGGAACAGAGCAGGATGTGAGAGGTTCATACAGACACCATATTACATCCTATGGCATGAGATTAGCAGTGGAATGTGCTCCAGACACTCAACAACTGCTCTCTGTGCATGACCTCATCTAAGCTCCCAAGAATCCCTTCCAGAAGATGCAATGACTTGCTTGCACAGAAAAGGAAAGCGAAGCGTAAAGAGGGGCTCAGGTGGCCCCTATAACTAAAGGTAAAGTAGAAAGACGCACAAACCTGAGTCTGCTGTCATCATTAAATAGAGTCCTGTGTTTATTTTTAAAGAGATCTTATGGAGGAAAAGAGGTTCTTGGATAGTATAAGTGGTTTGAGCTAGACTGCTAACCTTAAGATTGGTGGTTCAAACTGGCCCATGGTGCTGCAAAAGAAAATCCTAGTCATCTGCTCCCACAGAGGTAGGTAGGTAGAGAGATAGACAGACAGAGAAATAGATAGAGACTATATCTACTATATATCATATATGAGGTGATCATCTATCTGTCTTCTGTATATCTGACTGTCTATCTTCTTCCCTCCCTCCCTCCTTCCCACTATGTATCTGTCTGTCTACCTGTCTGCCTATCTTCCTTCTTGTCTATCTATGTGTCTATCTATTTGTCTGTCTGTATATGTGTTTTCCGATCTCTCTGTTTAGGTGGACTACAGGTAAGAAGCTATGCTATAATCCC